CCCGGCCCCCACCGGCACCGCCATGGAGTTCTCCGAGCTGATCAAGACGGCGACGGTGGAGAGCGTGCTGCTGTCGTGTGCGGGGCTGCCGGCGGTGAAGGGCACCCTGTGCATCACCAGCCACCACCTGCTCCTCTCCTCCTGCCCCGGGGGGGACGCCCAGCCAGGCACCGTGGAGCTCTGGCTGCTCATCCGCAACGTGGATGCCGTGGAGAAGAGGTGGGTCTCTCCCCGTGGCCGGCCCCGCGCTCCCTTCTAGCGGTGGCACCCCTGCCTGAGCTGGAGGAGATTCCCCGCTGCTCTCCCGGTGCCCGTGGCAGAGCACGGCCACCCCATGGTGCTGCTGCCGAGCCTCGTCCCTCCTCCCCCCCACGGCCCATGCCAGGGATGCTCGCAGCACCGGGCATTGACCTCCTCTTCTCCTCCGTGCCTCAGAGTGCAGAATTTAGGCTGGTACCAGCCCCCCGGGACTAACGGCTCCCCGCGAGACACCAGGTTTGGCTTTTAACACTCTCTCAGCTCTGCTAACCCACCCGGCAGCGCCCGGCTTTGTGCTAACCACCACGGCGCCCGCCGGGCCCCGGGCAGGGCAGGGAGATGGTGGAAATCCTGGCTTCAGACGGGCGTGCCACTGGTGCCAGATGAGAGCCAGCAATTCGGCACCCACACCGGCACAGCCCTCCCGCTTTGTCCCGCTCAGCTCTCCCAGGGGGAGAGGGCAGCTCAGCACTGTCGCATGTCTGTCTGTCTGTGTGCACGGACCTACAGCCAGCCCTGACCCTCCTCCTGCCTCCCCCAGGCTCACCAGCTCCTCCGGCACCATCACGCTTCGGTGCAAAGACCTGAAGGTGCTGCAGCTGGAGATCCCGGGCATGGAGGAGTGTCTCAACATCGCCAGCTCCATCGAGGTGAGCTCCCGGGTGGCCGGAGAGCCTGGCCTGAGCCGCGCCGGGCTGCAAAGGGTTGGCAGGAGAAAGCGGCTGTCCGCAGTGTTTGCTCTCGGTCTGTCATTAACGTGGGTAAATAGTCAGCTCCCGGCCTGTGTTGGTTGGCACTGGGTGCCCGCGGGGCTGGTGGTGCCAGCGCCTGCCTGCCCAGCCCTTGTTTGCAGCTGGGACATGGCCAGGAGCGGGGAACGGGGATGGTGGTTTGCAGAGGCTGCCCTGGGGACAGGGTGGGGACGTTCCCAGCCATCTCCGTGCTCCTCACCCGTGACCAGCTCCACCTTTGCTCCCACTCCAGGCCCTCTCCTCGGTGGACTCCGTGATGATGATGTACCCGTTCTTCTACAGACCCCAGAGCCTGAAGCTCGAGGAAGGATGGCACCTTTTCCCCCTCGAGCAGTACTTCCAACAGATCGCCTCACAGGTGAGCCTGGAGGGGAGAGACCCGGCTGGGCTGGGAAGCGACTCCCGCCCCCCGTGCCGGGCTGCCCGCTGGGGCTCACGCAGCCAGGGCTGCCAGGGAGGCACCCGAGGGCGGCCCCCCCCCCCAGCTCTTCCC